CTGGCACACTGATATTCTGTTTATCCTCATACTCATCCTGCCAGCTGGCTGGATAGCTCAGTAAGTTGGGTCCATGGCTGCAGAGGCCAGAGGTGTGATTCCACACCATTTGGTTTTTCTCCTGGGCAAGCTGCACAGTTTCAGAGCACCCCAGAAGAAAGAAACAGTAGAATACTTCTAAGGACTCTGTTCCTAGAAAACCCTGGGCAACCTGTGTGCAGTTAACTTTTTTGCTGTTGCATGTCTCCAGGAATGTATAATTGAGGACTCACAGTAGTAATGGATTCTATGGCAGTGTATAGATATAGGCAACAATGTCTTACTCTGAAATAACAGATAGCAAATATCTGGAAACTTCCCCAACCTCAAGCTACACTTGATAACCTTTCAAGTTAAGAAGTGATACACCTGATACTCAGTGATGGTCTGACTCTCTGTATGACTGAGTATGGAACTCTCAGGTGAAACTGCAAAACTATCCATGTCATTCATCATGCTTCCCAGTTTGCTTACAGCTAAAATATAAATCAGCCCTGAGTGCTCACTGGAAGGACAGATCCTGAAGCTGAGGCTCCAATACTTTGGCCATCTCACGAGAAGAGAAGATTCCCTGGAAAAGCCCCTGATGTTGGGAAAGTGTGAAGGCAAGAGGAGAAAGGGCTGACAGAGGATGAGATGGTTGGAGAGTGTCACAGAAGTTACCAACATGAATTTGACACAACTCCGGGAGGCAGTGGAAGACAGGAGGGCCTGGCGTGCTCTGGTCCATGGGGTCACGAACAGTTGGACACGACTTAATGACTAAACAACAAACAAAGAGTAAAGCAGAGTGAATATAAAAGTGGGAGTAACTAAACACACAAATACCAGAACCTGAAGAACTAGCTGAACTATTCATGCCAGAGGTGTCCCTTGGGAGCTGTATTTACACATGAACTTCTCTGTCTGTGGTGAAGACCTGAACACAGCTGTATGGTGAGGCTGACAAGCAGGTCCCATCTGCAGCAGCTACTCCGCCTGCCATCCTGCTCAGCTGTGACAGAGCCCCTCCCATCCTTGTGTGAAGTCATAATGCTTCCTTATATGGGCTGAAACTTAGCTGTGTTTTCTGAAACACGAAAGATAGCTTTCCTTTTAGATTGGTTTTTGCTTCCAACCATTTGACAATGGTATACATATCTACTGCTGAGTCTTCCACAAACTCTATGCACTCTTTATTAGGAAGGAAAGAGGAGAAGGGGACGACAGAGGACGAGATGGCTGGACAGTATCATCGAAGCTACCAACATGAATTTAACCCAACTCTGGGAGGCAGTGGAAGACAGGAGGGCCTGGCGTGCTCTGGACCATGAGGTCACGAAGAGTCGGACATGACTTAACGACTAAACAACAACAAAAATATTAAATATTTTCTATGTGATGATGTTGACATTCTGTCATCCTCTGGGGCATGTTCTGGCATTTCTCACCTCCCTGTCTTCTCCTATCTCATATTGTTCTCCATTTTCATATCCACGCACATATTCAGAGGAGGTGGCAGAATAAGGGCATTTTTTGAATTAAGGATGTCTTTACTTGAACAAAGCCACTGCCTTTAGACATGCTTTTAGCAACATTGCAGGAGGTGGCAGTAAACGGGAAACAAACACAGATAAATATTTTTAAGTCCACAATGGATATTAAAGGAACAGCAGAAACTGCCAGGACTATGATGTAGAAAGCAAGAACTACCCATCTCTTAAAATGTATGGAAACCCAGGACAGTCTAGAACCTGGTCACGCAAGGAACTGAATTACTTGGAAGTCACTTCATCGGCTGTGGACTGGAGCTGCCAGAACTACAGTGAACCAAAGAATATGCCTTTTTCACACTGACACAGTTCTCTATGAGTGCAGGGAAGAACAGATAACACCACACCTATGTCAGTGTACTCTATGCCCCTCAACATGTACATAGGAAAGTTGATGTTAGTCTCCCCAAATGTTCTTAATGCTGCCCATCATTGGGTGAAAAGCACCTGATATATGTGTTAATAGTACTACTGTATAGTGTTTCTGATATAAACAAAGAAAGAAATATTTGCTCCCCAACTGCCTTTTGAAATTCTCCACCCTATTTCTGGGAAGTGATCCTTGAGGATAAGTTCTCCAAGGAAGGGAGAAATTATCCTACAGTTTTTCAGATATGGAGACTAAAAGCTTTGTCCTTTTTCACTCCAAACATTTTCTCCCCCCTTTTGTTTTTTGGCGCACTGGCACTGCAACTGTGCCAGTGGTCACCATTTTGTTTCCTTTGTAATGGCCTCTACGTAGAGGCCTTCTTGGTTCTGGTAGTGGTGGTGGTGGAGCTGGCAGCAAGAAGGAGTCAAAACATGAGAAAAAGGAGGAGAAAAATGTTGAAAATAATTCTATAAAATGGTCTTGTATTTCTGTGGGAGTTAAAAAATGAAGACTCTATCAAACAGTTCAGTTTGGATTTCCAATAGGTTCATGGTGGTTTGTGGTTTGTAGCTAACCATAGATCATCACCAGCCAACATCTCTAATTCTGAGCAAACTTTTTTTAAAAACATTTTATTAGTTTTTCAATCTATCTACATTCAATTCTTGCTTGTTAAACATTGTGCTACATGGTTTGCTTATAATTATTTGTTTTTTGCATCTTGGTGTCTTCTTAGTTGTCCCTTTAAAATCTATACATTTTTTAAACATTTAAACCGCTCATGTGTGTATTTTAGTATACAATATTGGTTTCTATTATAATATTGCTTTCATTGTATACATCATGTTCTCAAAATCTTCTAATAACATACCTAATAAAAGTAAACCCAGTTCCAAGTCTATATAATTTTGAGGTGATTTAATTGGCAAACTTTATATTTTATACCAATAATAACTGAGTAGGTTCCTAACACATAATAGATGTTATTTAAAGCATTTTATACAGATTTCTTTATATAATTGTTTAGCTGTTTCTATCTCCACATTTTCTACCATCCATATCAATATCATATCTACTGTATATTCATAAAGTACTATTTGTTTTGCCCCATCCTTATATCTAGCTTCAATTTACCTTAAGAACCACCATGTTATGCCTTTTCCTGGATTAGTGATCCCTTATTTCTGTTTAATTCCCTTTTATAACATATAAGATATGCCCCTTTACAATTTCAGACATTAGGTATATACATGCCTTCAATGTTGAGGGCCACCTTAATTTTTCATCTTTCTAAGTAACTCCTTCTCTTATTTGTCTTAGGTGGGATAAAAATAAAAATAAATAAATAAATAAATTCTTGTTTCTATCTCTCTAAACATTCTGCCATCCCTTGTGTCACCTGAAAACAATTTATACATTCTGCCATCCCTTGTGTCACCTGAAAACTTTTTATACACCTGATCTATCTCCAACAGATCTTCCAGGCTATTTTTAATTAATTCTGTGATTTTCTCCCCTTATCTTCCCTTAATAAACCTAGAATTCTCCTTGGTAATTCTGAGCAAACTTGATTCAGTGCTAGTTGTCATTCTTCAAGGTTCGGTACTTGTTTCTCCCATAGATGCTAACAGTGCAACACAGCTGGTTGCTTTTAAGCCCTGTAGCAAGTTGGAGGGAGGGCCAAGCCCTAAGGGAAGGGGGAGACCAATGGTATACCCTAATATCTCCTCCACTCCCATTCACCTCCATCCCAGTTGATGGAAACTATCAAGCCCTGTGCCTTAATTGAAGTGTAGGAAGCTGGAGAGAAGGCTGGCTGCCAGAGATAACTGTAGAGTTAAAGGCACGGCATGTAACCACTTTCCTCAGCTGCCACATAATAAGGCTAAGTGCAAGAAATCCTGAAACTCACCTATTAGAATTTCTTTGACATTTCTTCTACTCCAAAATACTTTTCTAAAGGAATTTTCTGTACAGTAATCATTATGATCACATACCAATCCAGCCATCTCTGTGTTATCCCAGAAATAACACCAATAAGCAGATCTCCCTCATATATTGCTTCACCAGTTGATGAAGGAAGGGTATGAGTCAGCTAGGGAACTGAAAGCAATGCAGGAAACCTATCTGAACACAATGATCATGGACAGCTACTGGAAGTAACTGTGGATTTTTTTCACCAGGCTAGATCAATATCTGGTTTAGGTATCTGGCTGAGGAGTCAGTGGTTGGCAATTCAACTCCCCCCTGTACCTCCTGTGAGCAGAGCCAGCCTGTGTGGCCCTGGGCAAGCTGCCGAGTCCCAGTGAGCCCCCAGAAGAAGGGAATGTGGTGAACCACTTCTGTGTATTCTCTACCCAGAAAACCCCGAAAAGGGTCACAATATGTCAGAATTGACTCAACAGCACATGATTAGGAAGTCTTGGCACAGTACAAGGAGGCCACACTAGAAGTGTTCCATTGATGGCATTACACTTTGACCAAACTTAGGCACATCAATAAGGCTTTTGTCATCTATTTGTTGGAACAGCTGTTTGGTTCTCTATCAGCTATGCAGCTTTCATGCTCACTGGCATCAGTATTTTTGGGAACAAATCATTCAGAGCATGCTGTTTGGTTCTCTATCAGCTATGCAGCTCTCATGCTCACTGGCACCAGTACTTTGGGAACAAATCATTCAGAGCGTATCTCAAAAAGAAAGAAAGAAAGAAAGAAAGAAAGAAAGAAAGAAAGAAAGAAAGAAAGAAAGAAAGAAACAGAGAGAGAGAGAGAGAGAGAGAGAGAGAGAAAGAAAGAAAGAAAGAAAGAAAGAAAGAAAGAAAGAAAGAAAGAAAGAAAGAAAGAAAGAAAGAAAGAAACCCAAAGGACAGTATTTAATATGAAGAAAGCCCTGGTAACTACCTCCTTGCTTCCCACTGCTACATTTTGCTGTTTCATATGCAAGAAGACAACAGGTTTAGCAAACAAAATCTGCAGAGGTTCGGATCTTCTTAAACAGGAAACGTACATTTCAGAGTTTAATATACAATGATATGTAATCCACTATTGTGGTGGCTTACCTCTGGCTGTAGCAATTTCCCCATCTGCATGAGCCATGCACTGCATGGCCGTTGCCGCAACGCATATTGGCATGCTGACTCTCTGTCCCAAGACGGAAGTCGACAGATCGAGGACAGACACATTCCTCAGCATCCGGGGATACAGTTTTAATCTGGCACAGATGGAAATGGAGAACTTGATGACTAGATTATTACCATTAACACAAGACTCATGGTGCAAGCACAATATGTTGAAGTTCCCCGTTCTTATTCAGACCAGATGAAACATGAAACTTTGGGTCATAAAGCTCTCTGGCATAGGTATTTTGCTTTCACTTTCTTGTAAACTTGGACATGAAGTGCATGGATCTGAGCATTTAAAAAAGAACTCCTTCACCAATGTTTCATTTCCAGCTTTTGCCAGGTGCAGAATGAAATACAAGTTACGTTATTAACTACTTTGTCAATGCTAAATGTCCAGATTCAAATGCAGGGCGGGGTCATAAAGCTCTCTGGCATAGGTATTTTGCTTTCACTTTCTTGTAAACTTGGACATGAAGTGCATGGATCTGAGCATTTAAAAAAGAACTCCTTCACCAATGTTTCACTTCCAGCTTTTGCCAGGTGCAGAATGAAATACAAGTTACGTTATTAACTACTTTGTCAATGCTAAATGTCCAGGTTCAAATGCAGGGCTTCCCAACCAGGTGTTCTTGGGCTGCAACTCTCAGAAATCCTGGCCAGCACAGCTGTTGGTGAAGGCTTCTGGGAGTCGCAATCCAAGTGCACCTAGGTTACCCAAGGTTGGGAACCACCACCCTATTGCCTTGTTCTTTCCTACAGCATCAAGAATTGGAACTGTGCTAAAATTGACAAAACCCCAATAAACCTCATTGATCTATGGCCTCATTGGCAGTGTTGGCCTATTTTATCCAGGCTGTAGGAAGTAACCTCAAGCCCTGAGGCTGAATCTGGCCTTCTTGGGGTTCCTGTAGGCTTCTCCAGATGACCAATCTTACTTCCTCATGAGAGCATCACTTGGTGGTTTCCCTGATTTAATATGGGCTCCCTACCCATTCTGAAATGTCAAAATACTAGTAAGAAAGGCTTACGTTCTGACAATATGAACTTTAACCTACGTCTTTGGTCCTACCTGTTTGCTACCTGGCCCCATCACCAGTAGAATGTGGCTCCTGAAAACTTATATTGCATTCAGCCATTAGGCCAAAAAGGGTTTAAAGTGATATCTAAATAATGGAACAATTATATCCTATACTGCATTTTACAGAGCAGGTAAAACATAATCTAGCCAATAGCTACGTCAGTCTATTATACAAAAAGAGAAACTAGAAGTCTTGTAGCATCCTTAAGACAAACTAGTTTTTATTTTTCATAAGCTTTCATGTGTCTTAGTACAATTCTTCAGATGAATTGGGTAATTGTGTCTCTGGAACGAGTTTAAAGCTGTTGGCAGGGAGGTTGTGTCAGGGGAGGCCAAGATAGGGTGTATTGGTCCTGGGTGAAGAAGATCTTGAAGAGACAATAGGTGGTGATGAAAATCAAGGTCTCATACACTCACCTGTCCCTCAGTATGATTATATGCCATCATTTGACTATTTCTGATGTCCAATTTTCTGCCCTGACTGCATTTTATATTGGACAAACATAAGAGACTAAACTGGCAAAAAATGGACATCAGAAATAGAAAAATTCAGAAACCAATGGGCAAACACTTTGCCCCTGAACACTCTCTCTGACCTCAGAGTGGCAGTTCTTGAACAAGGAAACTTCAAGGACAGATTCCAAAGGGAAGCTACTGAGCATAAACACATCAGGAAGTTCAACACACTCTGGAATGCCTTAATAAAGACAATAGGTTCAATGGTTTCCTGTGTCATTGCATGCATTAATCCAACCATCTGGGCCATTTTCAACCAGTCACACCCTAATCACCACAATTGTGATGGAAGTAATCACCATTGATTCTCTGATAAAGATCTTTTACACTCAGGAACAACGCACCCTATTAGTGACCTCCCCTGATAAACCCTCCCTGCCAACAGTTTTAAACTCCCCCCAAAGACACAGCCACTCCATTCATCTGAATTGGTAAACTAATCAAACCACATTAAGTCACTGTTATTGAAGTCACTATGAATAAACCACTGATTGCTTATAATGTAGAAATGTTGAACTCTTTCTTAGTACAGCCTCAAAGCTAGGCAAATCTTGTTTCAATGACCTTATTCACACTCAGCTGCAGGGAAGCAATGACATGGCTTGCGTGATCAACTTCAGTAAACAAGCTGTCATGGGGTCCTAGGCTTTATCAGCGAACGGCAGTTTCTTTTCTAAAGGCTTTTTGAATGTCAGGGATACAATGTGTCAGAACTGATTATCAGTGGTTTGATTATTTTCTCTCACTGTAATTTAAAAAGCTTCAAGAAGAGTTTTTACATTGATTTCCTTGAGTGTTGTGATATTAGGCCACAAGCACCATGACCTTGTCACAAAATCCATTTCCTAAAAAGAGATCTGACCCGATTCAACTTTGGCACAGACGTCTGTCTGCCAAGAACAGAAATATCGGAGGTCAATCTTTAAAGTTCTCTCACATTAACTTGGAAACAGGAAAGCAACTGGACAGTCTCTTGTGTAGGTGGTGTGGTGGCTTCAAAACAGCATGTTAACCAATTGTTAGAAAAAACACTGACACCAGCATTAGTTTGGGGACCTAAAATATTATTTTCCAGCAGCCAAGTGGGAAGGCATTGCCATAGTCATATAACTGGGTCCCATAATCCTAAATAATCTTTGGCCAGTCTCTCATCTTTCAAGTGAGATCAAAGAGGAGGTGGTAGCAACTCATTTCTCTGGGTTGTCCTGGAGTGGGGTGTTTAGATCCTTTCTAACCTGGGCTACAGCTTAATTTTGGGACACTAATAGACTTGGTTTTCTTGATAAACATCCAATGCCAGGACCTGAACAGAGTAGTTTGGTCCCTGATGGTTTTGCTGGACTTCTTAGGTACTTTCAGTTCCACTGTCTATACTCTATAGTATCCTTCTGGATGTTTAGCTAATATGATACTAAATAACGCCATTCCAGACCTATCAACGGAACATTTCCAGAAGGTAGTAGTGGGGACCTACTATTCAGGAGAGAGGCCTCTATTTTATTCTATTTGTTTTTGTTTAACTGGAACCATTGAGACAAGCCATCAAGGGTTCTGGGTTTGGACCTTACCATTTTATACTCAACTGTTGCCTGGATGCAATGATGGATTGAATGTAAGCTGTTCTAAACAGCCTAAAGGTTCTGATTGTCAAGACTGGGAGTGTGGTGGGAATTTTGGCTCCACGTGAAGGTTCCAGTCCACAACCTGGGAGACCTTCTGGATCCACCATTACCCCTGGGTAGTGTAGCAATTGCACCCACTCTATATGAAAACAGATCAGACAAGAATGATCTATGCCCTAATCACTTTCAGCTTCATTACTTATGAATGCTGAAAATGAGATATTCCCTGGAAAGTGTTTGGAAAGTGATGAAAATGCACATACACAATGCCATAGTCTGGTTATGTTTCAGTGTACTTTAGCAACTGCACTTACACCTACATCAATTGCATAAATTTCCAGATAATTTCTGGGCCCAATTTAACATGCTGGTTCTTGCCTATAAAGCCATAAGAGGTCAGGGGCCAGGATACATCAAAGACAACATCCTTCTCTTATTCTCTTATTTACTTCAGAAATCCCATGGTGTATACCACGGGGGGAAAAGGCTAGGAAGAGAGCTGTGGAATAAAGGCAGAATCTTGGATTTCTGAAAATCACCAATAGCAATAAAATCATCTGAGCAGCAAGTTTTAGAAATTAAAGACTTCCCATCAGCCTAAAGGTCCCAATGGCTTCTACACAATTAAAGAGGTCCCAAGGGAACATTTGGAGGATGGCGATTGGAAACTTTTAATTCCTGAAAAAGAACCATGGCTGATGATATCCGTGTTCTGCATTGTAACTTCTTACTACTAGATTTCAGCCCCTCTGTGCATAATAACTCAAACACCTCACAAATCCAATTTCATATTAAATCAACTTAAATGTAGCCACTAGTTTATGAGAGAGATAGGAAAAAACACAGAAGTGATATTCATCCATCTTGCCAGCCATAAGAATATTTAATACCCCAAATATCATGTGGTGCTTGATATATTTTATGGCACTGCAGGCATCGGAATCTGTGGTGGAAGACATAGACAGTGAACATTACAATTCAGCAACCATTAATTTGGTTGATGGTTGTTGTGGGATTTTCGGGCTCTTTGGCCATGTTCTGAAGGTTGTTCTTCCTAATGTTTCTCCAGTCTCTGTGGCCGGCATCTTCAGAGGACAGGAGTCAGAACTCTGTGCTCTGGTGCAGTTCGTTTGGATAGTTGAGTATTTATAGCTGTGGGATCAGCTTTTGTCCTTTTCAGGAGATGGGTGATTGTGGTAATCAGTGTTTTTTTTGTTGTTGTGGGTGTATTGTTGTGATAAAAGGGAGAGATTATCTGTCACTGTGATTGATGGGTGTCGTTAGCTGGTCTTTTGTGTGCAGCAATCACTGATCCTTGTAGCTCGATAGAGTTTGTTGACCTTTTGCAGGCTGTATTTTTCAGTGCTGAGAGCCAGACTCTGTTGAGTTTTAAACTTTCTTCTTTTTTGTTGAAGAACTATCCAAACAAACTGCACCAGAGCACAGTGTTCTGACTCCTGTCCTCTGAAGATGCCGGCCACAGAGACTGGCGCAATGTTAGGAAAAACAACCTTCAGAACATGGTCAAAGAGCCCGAAAAAACCCACAACAACCATCAGATACCAGCTGTGAAAGCCTTTGAGAATACATTAACTTGGTTTCTTTAATCTTGGAAGTTCTTAATTGTAGTTAAGGAGATTAGTCTCTCTCAGAAATGCCATGATACTACAGGAAAGAAGGGAGGTAATTATTTCAGGGAGTGCTAAAAACAGGTAGTTAAACATCAGTAAATCTGTTGAACTTTTCTCTTGGTGAAGCATTCTATAGTTCTATACGCTCAATGGGATCACCAAAAAAATATTTAACAGGAGAGAGAGAGAGAGAGAGAGAGAGAGAGAGAGAAGCCATGAATTCTGTGACTATTCTTCCTTCACTTTTTCAAACTAAAGTGGGATTTGCAGTGA